GAACGCGTCCAGGCGGGTTTTGAATGTCTTCCTCCATCATGGTTGCTGTAATGACAAAGCAGGCTTTCCTTTCTCTCCATGCTGTCAGGTCTCGTATAACCTTCTTGTGCTGCAGTGACTCTGTGCAGCTGCTGTCCTAAATAAGTTTACGTTTAGCATGTTGATAGGAACACATAAATTTCTTTTTCAATTCCAGTCAGACTGGCTGTAATGTTCCTTCCCATTACTGTAGTGTCTGAGGTCTGCTGGAGGCTTTTTTTTTCCTGTTGGTGTCCTTTGCATTCCTGATGGAAAAGACCAGTGAGAGTTTCTTCTCCTTATAACTGCAAATTTAGCATGCTTAGCTGGAACAGCGCTGCTGCCAGACTGATGCCTTGCACTGGCCGCATTGCTGCTGAAAGCTGCAATACTGGTTGTTTTGTGAGCTGGTAACACCCTGAAGCATACTTATAGATTCCACAGGAGGTCTATCTGATCATGGTCTTGAAAACAGGTTTAATGGCCACCATAGCTGTACTGACTTTTTAGCTTTGACAGAAGCAACACGCATTAAAGCATTTATTGAATGTTAGGTAAATGGCTGAGCCAGATGAGATATAGATGGAGTTGACTTCATAGTCAAGAAGCTCCCATATTTTAGATAGTTTAGCTTTCAGGATAAGTCTACATGGCCAAATGGATTGGTATAGTTATTTCTTATCTTCATAACTGTGTGTTCTACTTCTGCTGTCCCCCAGAGCGGCTGCAGGAAGTGTACAGTAAAGACAGGATTTGAAGGACTCTTCCTGCTGGTAGAGTCAGTATTGCCATCTTCATGGAAGTGACAGTCAGCTGCATGGTTCTGAGTTCTTTTACGTGTTATAAATCTAATGTACTTTTATTCTCAAATAGGTTATTAATTCTGAATGTGCTGACTGTAGATGCCTTTAAAATCAGGCCAAAGGTTTTAAAACCTGCAGAGTTACTGCTTTGAAAAGATTAAAAGCACAAGATAGTGTTTTCTTCTTGAGAGCTGTATAGGCTTATCTCGGAACCGAACCAGGAAGTGCTCTGGTTTTTCCTTTGCATTGGTAGGTCTTCATGATTAATATCGTCAGCATGGTCTGTGAGATCTGGCAGTGAAGTTAGTTGAAAGGCAAAACCTCAAATTACTGCCTGCTGATCATCACATCTTACTGAACAGAAAATTCAGAGAGAATTTGCCTCCTAAGGTGCAGAACATTAACAGCAGTATATAGTTCGTAAGCCATTTCCCATTCTCTTTTCAATAGAAGTTTTTTTTTATTCTGCTGGTACCTGGAGTTAGGCATAGAGTATGTACTTGGAACAACAGAGTCCTGCACCTAAAAATTTAAGGAGAATTAGCTTTGAGGATGGGGAAGAGAGAGAGAGATGATTGGAATATGTGGGAACTTGTTAAATGAATTGTCTACTCTTAAATACACTGTGGCTTTAAACAAAAGTGTATGTAGTAAGAGTAGACACGTGATGATAGATGGAGAGGAAACAGGTTAATAAGAACCTTTCTGAGAGATCTGACCTGACCTTGTAGAAGGAAGAACGGGCAGTAGTCGGTCACAGAGTATGAAAAAGCAAGATATAAACAGATTCAGATATGAGATTGTTACAGAAGTTTAAAAAATTAATGTAGTTTTACTTAGAGCTTCCATTGCACAATTACTGTGACTCAGCTGACACATAGTCACTTGTTTTCTGAACCCTGTGGCAACTGGGTAAGATTGTAACTATGTCACTTGAGAGCTGAAATACTATGAAAGAACTCTTTAATGTGGTGTTGCGCTTTCTGCCATTCCATCATAGATGAAATGAAGGCTGGCTTTCCTCTACCTTTCCCATCCTATGCAAAGAACCTTCTGATATCTCTGTGCAAAGAGGTCCCCTTCCAAGTGAAGTGTGTATCCTGCTACCAGGTACTACGCTCGCATATGGAATTAACAGCTCATTTCAGGTTTGTGAGAGACAGCTGTCTTTATAATGTGAACATCCATAGATCAATAATAGATGGGCAGACATATTCTTAGTAGTGCTAGTGGATTTCAGGGCATCTAGGACAGTTTGAATGTTGACTTCCTGAGTAACCCATCGAAAATCTGCTCCATTTCCATGTCTTTTACCCCACCTTACCCCACACAATCCACTGCAGAATGCTGATTGATGTCTGTAACTTTTTTGTTGCTTTTTGTAACAGAACAACGGAACTTGCTTGCTGTTCCACTATTTCTAAGTTGGCAGTACTTGATTTCTGAAATGTATTGAGTCCAACACCATAAGCATCAATCTAAGTACTAATTTTGGAAATTAGCCCCTAATTCTCTTTAAAATGCAGAGACTAGATAGGCGTTGCATGTTTTTGTTGGCAAGCTAGTAGGTGAGTTAAAGTATACAGAGGACACTATTTCCGTGCACTAGTTGCTGTAGCTACTAGATAATATTTCGAAGTACATCTGAAAGTTTAAAAATGTTTCGGGTTATGATATAACCTCTTCAATTTTTTTAATCCATTCTAGAACACGTTGTCGTAATTCTGGGCCTGTGGCACTGTCAAAGAAGAGCATCTCCCAAGTTGCAGAGATATTTAAAACAAAAGGTCACTGTGAGAACTGTGATAAACTCTTCGCTGATAGGAATCAGATCACCCAGCATAATCAAACCACTCAACATAACATTAAAGTTCTTACTACGATGGAAGAGTCCATCTTGATGTTCTGTCATATTAATGGAAAAAATAAAAATCAGTCTCATTTGTGCCATATTGTGGATCGGTCAAGACTGCTGCTTAAAAGGCACTTGATGTCGAATGAGTCTACCAGTGAAAGGGGGTCTACTCCTTCGAAACGGAAGAGCAATTTAAAAGACGAAACTGAAGATTGTGTTGCAAATCAAAGTCAAGGTAGTGCTTGCAAAGTAAAAGCCTGGTTTTGTGAATGCCTTCAAAAGTTTTTTACAGAAGAGTCAGTAGAAAAGCACGTTTTATCAGCAAACAGGATCTGTCACAAGTGTGCTGTGTGTGGAAAGCTTGCTGAAAATTCAAGCATTATCCGCCTGCACATGAGTCGGTTCCACGGGGGAGCTCACTTGACTAATTTTCTTCTCTGGTGCAGGGCGTGCTCTGTGGATCTTGGAGAAGAGGATGTTAAGGGGCATGTGACTGAGTTTCATGGTGGACATGGTTACTATTATGAGCAAGAAGCTCTAGAAGATGAACCCATGCCATCCGCTTCTGATGTGGCGTGCACATCTGCAGATGATAGGAAAGACTGGATTCCTAGTCCTATGGAACTTTCCCCTGAAAAAAGTCCTATTCTGGGAAAATGGCAGTGCCGCATTTGTGAGGAGATGTTTGAGTCCGAAGAGAGCGTTAAACAGCATTGCATGTCCTTAGAAAGCCATGCATTTCACAGGTACTGCTGTGGCTTGTGCAGAGATCACTTTCGGAAAATAGGAACGCTGCAGCGGCACTTCCAAGAGCATCATAACCAAGAGATAGAATTTAAATACTTCTGTGGCCTTTGTGGTGATGTCGTCTTTGACACAGAAGAAGCTTTTCTAATCCATTATAAGGAGATTCATAGCGTGGACTATTTGTTTGTGCCTGAGCAGATGGAAGTATCAATAAAAACAGAGGAGGACTACCTCCCAGTAGAAAAAGGAGACAGTTTAACCTGTGGTTGCCGGACAACTTATGTCTCCAAAATAAACAGGAGGAATGATTATGTGAATTGTCAGAAAGCCCTGCTGCAGAAAGGAAGCTTATGGTTTCGATGCTGCCTCTGTTTTGCAACTGCACAGAATTTTGCTGATTTGGACAGTCATCTTGACAGTCACGCCTCACTGAAACGTAAGGAGGAGATGTATGTAGTTAGATGTGCTGCGTGCGATAAAAACTTTGATGATCTTCACAGTGCACATCAGCACTATCACATGAAACACTGCTTCTTGCAGAAACCTGATCTATCAAGTCTTGCAGCAGAATCAGAAGCCACGGTATTCAAGTTCACAGCAAGTGGGGCTTGTGTGGACAGAAAACCTCACAAGCAAAAACTTCAGGCACATCCATCCAAGACTCAGGAAAGCCCACACTCACCTCCTCTGAAGGCACCAATACACGGAAAGAAAGAAAAGACAGAGAACTCAGCACACGCTGAAGAACCTGGTGAAGGTTTGTAGAAATTTTTTTTTTTGACGTTAGAAAAAAAGAGCCTTTAACACATTGTTTCATTGTCAGTATGTAGCATATAATTTGCCTACATCCAGTCTATAAACCAGCTCAGAATTTAACAGTTGTTATTTCTCAGAGCTGCGTTTTGAATTCTCAGTATTTGAGTTTCCAGAACTTGGACTCAGCAATTTGCACTTTGAAAAACAAAAAGTAGGCAGATGTGTTCTGGAACTGGAATTGCTGTATGCCATATGCATGAAGCCTTTAAAAAACCAAAAAGTAGGCAGATGTGTTCTGGAACTGGAACAATTAGTTGGGAGCGTAATTTGGTGTTAAAAGGAAGAGGACAATCAAGGACCCAAAATAGAGATCCAAGTCCTAGAATGTAAAAGTGGTCTATAAAACACACGCATCAAGAGAAACTTGCCGCCTTTGTATTTATAAGTACTTATGAGCCTGGTAGTGCTTTCTGTGTGGGCAGTCCTATTATAACACCATCTTTTCAGTTTCCTTAGCTTGCCAAAAAATAATTTCAGCTGAGAATTCGTATTCTTAGTATGTATTAGGGGGTTTTGCCTTAAGCATGCAAATATTTTTTAAGTTCGTGTCACTTCTTCCAACCCAAACCATTCTATGATTCTCAGAATGACATCAAGAATGCTGAAGGTGTACCTTGTGTTAAAAAATTGGAAGTATTTTTAATTACTCAGTGTCATAATGCTTTTGATTAAAAAGTTGACATTTATGTTAGCTGTAAGGCAAAAAGTATGTCTCTAAAGATTTTTACATGGTTTTGTGCATGTGAGCAATTAAATGCCACAGAGTTGCCATAGTAGGGGATGCACAGTTGAATATTAAATGGACTGTTAAAATGTCTCAGTGCAGGACCACAGCTTTCTATGCCTACCACAAAACTATCCAGCTCTACAGCATTGTATAGCTAGATTCTACTTTGTCTGATTTGTGCATTATAAATACTACTTCCGTTGATTTAAAAACAATGCAGTCACCAAATAGGATCACATTTTGTAACTTTTAGCTTATAGAACAGTTGAATACATGAATTTTCAAAACCGTATCTGAAGTTGATGTATGTTGGTTGAGCAGAAAGTCAGGTGAACTTTAAATGCATCCTTTTTATCCCGTTGAAGATGGTGAACTTCCTGATCTTGACTACCTGAGTACCATGACTCACATTGTGTTGGTGGATCTGGACAACTGGGGAAGCTTATTCACGCAGCTGCCAGCTAACCTGAACCAAGGGACATTTATCTGGGGCTTTCAAGGTAAAAAGTGGTTGAAGGAAATAGGAAGATAAGATTAACAAGTCTACATAAATACTTGAGCAGAGATTCTTTGAATCTGAGAGAATGAAGCACAGGAAGAAGCAGCCACGAAGGGGGCTTAAGTCACAGTGTCACAGGCACTGTGTAATATAACTGGTCTTGAACTTTTCGAACTCGGTCTTAACCTCATCTGCTCTTACTATATTCCTTGTAGAATATTGTTGCAGAATTGCTCAACAGTTTAGGAGTCTTTCTG